ATAGCTCCGACTTCGCTGTGGTGGCTGTAAACGTGAATGAGTGAAAGTCCGCGAAGGTTTACCCTTGCCATCCATTTCGTGGGTAGTCTCTAGGCCCTTGGTGAATTATTTTCGTTTATTGTTTACTCACACATTGGGGTTCATATCGCCCCTAAGGATTTAGGTATCGCCATTTGGGATGTTATACATTGTGTTGGTAGCTGTCCATGGGAATCTCCCTTCTTCTCTTGTTCTGAATTGCTTTTAGGTGCAAGGCACTGGTTATTTGTATCTTTGCTTCCTTCTGAGTTGAATCCTGTCGTCATGATCCTAGGAGAGACTGCTTCCTACCGCATAAGAGCTTTGACAAAAAATCTATACGTCTTCTGATGTCTTGAAAAATTCTGGGACAGAGACAGACTCGATTCATATCCATAAAAGATCAGAAGTGCGCGTTGGTTCAAGTCTGTGTAGTGCAAACTTTATTGAAGACAATCTGCCGTTCTAAAATGGAGCAGACAACGTATAAATGAAAAGAAAGGTTCGTCACGAAGAGGTTTTGGTCGGTGATAGTTTTGAAACCCCAGTACTTACTTATATGTACTATACACGGATGCCAGCACTCCGTTTAGCAAACGGATCAAGTTGGGCTATCTGGTTTATCAAGGTGTCATCGTTAAAAAAACTAACATCTGACTTCAGTGGCAAAGGAGTTAATTTATAGGACTGTACCCTCAGTGTAGCGAATAAATCAATTTGCAGACGTAAAGAATTCGTCATGTAATTCAAGAAAAGTCGACTGCAATGATGGAATTAGCCAGTGCATCACAAAGATGGTTATATACTGCAGAATGGGTTGTAAGGGATAAGACATGGATTCACCTGTAATAAGGAGATCTCCCAAGGCCATTGTGGTTGAAGTCTTTGTGGTTAAATTTTGCGCATGGACGCCAGAATACCAGTATACAATGGTCAGCATATTCACTACTCCATTCTTTGACGAACGATGCCGCCATCAGGCGATACATTCGACTACAAGAGTGATATTTGTAAACCACTGGCGGTGACTCTGATTTTAGACAAAGTCATGCAGCAAGATTTCCAGTAAAACTCATCAGCTCTAGACTTCACTTTCCTCTGCCATGAGTTCTAATGTCTCGTAAAATCTAGCATCCACAGGATCAATGTGTATATCGCTTCATCAAGTGACTGGACCGCAGACTCTCAGGTCACTGACGATGCTGAATATAGTCATTCCATGGGAATGGAATTTCGGGTAACGCATTCATACATTCTTTGGGCTGTCTCTAATAGGTGAAAACGTGGTGCTGTGTGAATAAATGAAGAGACATTTGCAGTGTGTTTGAACGAGTTCGCAAGTGCTGGAACGACTTCATCACTCTTGGCACACTAGATGCTGGAGATCCATACAGCAAAAAACAAATCTGTGATAGAAATCAGGTAATCAAAAACTATATTTGTACACGAGATGCATCATGGCATCCTCAAGCTTAATTTTGGCGAGAACGTATTTCGCTCATTCTTTAGGGAAATCTGTCTTGTATCGTAAGCCTAACGGTAGGAAGAAGCTTAGTCAAATGCAGGGACAAGAAACCTGTGAAAGCTGCCCACAGAGATTTTGGCAAAGTACTTGATAAAATGGCTTGAACCACACTATTGGTGTAACAGAAGGATTTTGACATAGCCAGCAGCCTACTTACTCTGATGAAAACTTGTCACCAGGAAAAAGAGAATAAGAACCCACGCCAAGTCCCCCTCTTGTTCTGCCGTACATTTCGGTGTACTACAATACAATCTACTAGGCCTTTCATCAAGAATTCTGCATAACAACAGGTTATTCAATGATTACCTAACATCCGTTGGTTCTTTATGTCAATGATCAAGAAATAAGAGGTGAACCCACTACTATATGACATTGAGTGCACGATGAAAAACTACTCCATCTTGTAGCCCATTTGTAGGACAGAAATTTAGAGCACTGTGGGCCAAACAGGTAAACTTCACTGTATTCACTTGTGATGTTTGAACGATTCTTGCCAAGAAGCAAATAAAAGACGATTCAGCGAAGAAAATTTTCTTAATCGATGGAACCATCCCCACAGCTGTACTGTCGTATTTGTATTTACCAAAGATGTATAGTGATCTATTACTGGATACTAAGAGGTGACATAATTGATGTAATTACTCAGAAGGGGCTTCAAAATTTGAAGTAAAAGTTGTTAACCATGTAGTACTTAACGGCATTTCAGGGGCTGACGGTATTGACGTTCACGGATACTACGAAGTATACTAACGCAAGATCTAATACCCACAACTAACCCGTTTATACGAAACACAAATTATTATTATTATAACTTCTACATTGGACCAAAGACAAGGCAAAACACCACAATTGATCGTCCAAATTACGAGTTATATTTCGGGACCAAAACGTACTGCGAGATGATTGCTTAGCAAGTTAGAGATCGTGCACGAACGTGACACGACGGAGTACCAAATGGCGTGGCTGCTTGACCGGAAGCCTTCAGCTAAACAAGTCGACTTAAACAGTGAGGGTCAGTATCCAATGTTTATTGATGAGTGCTGTGGTCAATAATTTTGGGGAATTATTTACCGCTGCAGCATGAAGGGAGGAAGTTAGAAATTTGATAAGGGTAAAATTGTTATTGAGTGAGAAGAAAAATAGTTGAGTGCCAGTTAAACAAGTGTGAAGAGGGTATGCAAATGTACTAAAGGAAAATTTGAGAGTGACCATAGTGAATTAAGCATTAAAGTAAAATCAAACTAATGGTAAAAGTGAAAATTAAAAACTGAAAAATAAAATTTCTTACGGGGACCGACTAGTGAACAGGTTAAGACCACTGTAGAATAAGAGACTGGACAAATGTTTTCTGTATACAGAGTTCAGGGTTGCATTAACGAATTGCCAGCGCCTTAACCATGCAACAGAAGCCGAAACCTGACACCCTTTGTACCATTTGGCTTCACTTTGTAGAGGATCTTGAAAGACAACTCTGGTGGAGCCACGTGGCTTGAGTTCACCAAATGCTCGAGAATCGAGCTAGTAACTGTCTAGCATTGTCCCTTTGCTAACCATGCCAGATAATGTTCAGAGATGCGTTTGGAAAGTTTGCTCTTTGTGCGGCCAATGTAACTATCTCTGCAGGAGCAGGGGAATTTATAAAAACACACTGAGGTGGCCCAAAGCGGAAGTTTATGCTTTACACATCCATTGATCATTTGTTGGCTGTAGAAATTGATCCGTAGATCAGCGGTAAAGAAGGCTCTTCGCAGTGATCTGCATAAGCGATTCTTCAGGGTCTCAGCTGTGATATCACCTTTAATTTCAACGTTCATAAATAGGGGTTTCTTCGGCCCCGTCTGGGTTTTTTCAGACTTTTTCCTTAACTCCGTGAGGATTTGTCTGAGTCGCTCCAGATCCCCGTCGATTGAACCACTGGAACATATTCCGTTAATTCTTGAGGATAAGGACTGGATCAGAATTCTCTTTCTTCTCGAAGGGACCCAACTAGGAAATTTCGTGTATTGACCATTTTATTTTGCTTTCCTGAATGTTATTATGGCAGTTGTTGAATCCCTTAGTTATCATTTCGATGTTTGTGTTCTCGCCACATATGATCAAAGTATCACCCGTGTGTCTTTGTTACGTATGGAAACTGTGGATAGTGGGCCACAACTTACTGATCTCTAGACTTGCCAAGAAGCAGTCTGCAAACAAAGGACTCAATGGTGACTCTGTCGCCACCCTATCTCCTTGCATATAAAGCGTTCTCTTAGGCTTGAACTGGACAATAAAAATGAACCTCAATATTAAGTTCTTTAAGTAGGGGGTTGGAACACCCTCGTCTACATTATTGTCCTCAATGAATTAGCATATAAAGGAAATAGTTTTAGTGAGAGGAACGTTGGTGAAAAGGGACGTAACATCCATTAATATATCATTTTTTTCCCAGATACATCAACATAACTTATTGATCGACGAGTTCAAATGAATCTGAAACATTATGCCGACAGAAATTATTTTTGATGGGTAGGAGGGTGTCTGCGAGCCATTTAACAGTAGCACGATATGAAGGATTTGTCTTATCCAAGATTGGACGTAGTGGTACGTTCCCTTTGTACGCTTCCGGTAGACCATATAACTGGGGAATTCTCGGGATGTTGTAAACTAAGCAACTGAATCTAAACAGCCAGGGGTTGCTTAAAATTATTTGAGTAAATATTAAAAAGACTAAATCTCTCTTCCGAATCACACAGTAAATAAAAATAAACATCTTATCACTAATTTTAGAAGTCCGATAGAAAATTATGGATCTTATTCATCCTCCTTTTCTCTGTCTCTCAAGATTCGAGGAGCGTTCAAAACCTAAGTACTAACTGTAGTCGTGGAGTACTCGTACACCACCATTTTTCGGGAGAAATTTCTGTGGCAGCAATAGACTCGTTGAAAACAGGAACAATCAAAGACAGCTACCCAGTAGAAAATTACCAACCTAGGGTCAAAGTATTCTATCCTATATCCAAATATATGAGTTCTTACATTTCCTTCCCTTAATTCTGAATTTACATTCGGAGACATTTTATTTTCCACTTTTGCTAATTAAATACAGAAACACGAGGTGTATTTTCGAGTAGAAACAAGTGAATTGCATTTTCACAATAAGTGGAGTTAATACTTTGTGGTCTCAGATATCCAATCATTATTATTACTCTACTTTTATGACTATACCGAATGACCAACGGGTGTTAGGTCAAACTCCATTCACGGCAGCAGCTGAGTCCTAACATACTGCACACTACAAACCACAATCTTGACCAATCCTCGCATCACTCCTCCTGGAGTCTACCAGAGCTAAAGCAGTCGAGTGGCGGGATTTACTACGCATAAGTTCACCGAAGATCTGGAACCTCTACCTTACAATCAAGAAGCGAGCTCAAAGAAATCACTGGTTTATACTAGCTCGTAATCAGGATATTGGATATTGGAAGGTCGGCACTATTTTGAATTTGCACGTTACACACCTCTGAATTAATGCGCAATGAACGCAGATGAACCTAAACCGATGGTAAGCCTTATAATTTGTGCTGATAAGTCCCAGTAAATTAGCTCATTGTTATTTCGATGCATAAATATATGACTATTATATAAAACATTCGAGTGATTTTTTAAACTGCATCGATTCAGAAGTAGGGATATATCTAACCTGTTTAATTCACACCGATGATTAAATTTTATATTTCTGTAGTGATTCGCGTCATCTGAGCCAATTTTACTTTGAAATGGAGATATAGGCTTGTAAACGGATATTTATAAGCTATGCAGTTTTCAGCAGTGAAAAATTACAAAATCTAGGGATGCTATTATTTATAAACCAGATTGGTCTTGACGGTTTCCCTTATTTTATTTTTAATTATTGAAGATAAATGCATATTCATTTCGAACATTCTTTAGATATTTACAGCCACCCTCTGTATAGATAACAGCTAGATTTTCGAGATAGACATTCACTTAATCCATGTTCCACTTTTATGCTTTTTGACCTTGATGTTTAACTCTTCATGAAAACTGTTTCAGTTAATTTTATGTAATTATTCATGCGTAATCATTCAGACACAACCAACCACTTTCCTGTCATCAACAAACTACTGCTCCATCACCATGTAAAATGTATAAAATTTTGGGTCAAATAATTTATATATATAGGCTGATGAACACTTTTTTCACCTCACCACTTTCATAAAGTGATACATGGAGAATGAATTCAAACTTTTAAGATTTTTTGTTATCAAAAGCTATTGTCACGGAAAATGATATTTTTCGTGTAACTCAGGAATTATACGTCAGTTTGTTCCCAAAAGTTTCGTCGAACGTTATTCTTACTTACTAACTGACACCGAATTCCAGAAGTAAACAACATTGATTGAAGTGCACAATATATCTTGTGTCTTGTGTTGCGATATCATTGAACTCTACCTAACTTCATCATATTAAAAGAGTTACTTTTTCGCCTGAGGTAGGGTTTGTTTCCAGGTTGTCCATTTCTGAAATGGAATCTGAACACTCGTTTACTTTCAATGAATAAGGTTATTATCTTTACTCATGTAACGTAATTATAGTTATTCTCCGTCCTTTTGATATTAAAAAACGCTTCAGCAGGTGACTGGGAATAAGACATGTAACTGAAGTTAATCTCCTACTCTGGTCCGTTGAGTGAAAAGTATTGAAAGTTTCTCAACATTTGCATGCCCGCTTTCTTATAAGATTGTAAGAAGGTTTCAGAACAGGTTTTAGTAATTTGTAGATAATCTCCACTGTTTTGGATTGCCATAATGATAATATTTCCTGGTTATTCGGCAATTTACTTTCAAACGAACCATCCCATTTCACTTTGATTTGTAGGTTAGTTAACTGCATTATCCACATTCTTATATCTAGTGCACTATCTCACTATAAAATGGAATCATTTTGACGACTGTGACTAATAGTAGAAATTCGATTCTTAACTATTCACATAAATCTATTTCACCCTTTAAGTTATGTTAGCAGCAGGCTGCAGAATTTTTTGAATATCCAAAAATCAAATGACATTACTTCCAGGATGTTTTGACAGAAGGTTTGCATTATATATTTATATATTCACTGTGTTGATGGCTTAATTATCATCATTAGTAGGGATCCGGTTAGAAATGTATGCAAATATACGTTGCTTACATTTTGGTGTTTTTGGTCACAAAGGGTTCATAAATAAACTTAATGTTTTTAAAATGTATCTAGCTCCACCAATATCTTGGGAATTAACTTTCAAGTTAGCCAAATGAAATTCCAGCAAAACAGACAAAAAATAGGAATTGAATGAGAATGTATGATTAGCATGCAGCATTTAAGTGAGGGTAACAAGTAGCTTTTCGCACACCTTTTAATGTAAGATGGATCACATAGCTGAATATTTTGCATATCTTCGCACAACATTCCTCTCAGTTAATTGACGAGAGCATAACATGTTCACCCGATCTTATCCAGAACAGTCACCTGAATCCTTTATATAGTCATCAGTTATATCAGTAGTTTTATAGTGATGTATAAAACACATGAAATTTACTCAGCCGAACGGCCTTCGTGGAAATCCATTTTCTGTCAAGCTGTTTACTTGACTTTGGATTTACTTCAAAGTTTTAAGAGATCTACAGAGGGTCTGTGGTAGTTTTAAAGCTCAGTGACAGAATTTTGTGTTACTTAAGGAAATTAAAAGTAATCTGGGACTGTTTAAAGTGAACCAATATTTCATATAAATACATTAAAGTGTTTAGAGAAGTTTAGGTTTACAACTAAAATGTTTTTGCGAAGCATTGGCTTTGAAACCTTGAATAAGGGGGGATGGTAGGCATTTTGAGTGACCATAGAGTACAGTTAGTTCGCAATACATTAGAAGAGTGAAGTACATGAAGTAAAAGGAGCACACACCACACGATGACTAAGTCAAATCTTCCTAGTAAAAATTTGGAAAATTACTCTTATAGTATTACTTTCCAGTATAAAAATTTCTTCAATAATTCTCCATCTTAGGTTTCTTTTCTGCCGAACAGATAAACAGAAAACTAAAACTTGATCTTCAGATTATAAGATGTGTATGGAAATCGGATTAATTTCAGTCGTTGTAATTTCGTTATAAACCAACATCCCTTAGAGAGATCATTGAAAACCGAGGAGCATTGGACAGGTTCGTTGCACTTCGGGGTTCTTCATCATTGCGCACCCACGACCGTACCAAGCATCAGACCTAGGACCTTCAGGTTATGAGACCCAGCTCCAGCTCACTGGTGGCTGCTAGGCGGATTTCCTGAAATTGCGCAGCGGAAAGTTGTAACCAATAGGGTACACCATGTCAAAATAAACTGGATACTCACAGAAGGCATGGATCAGGGCAACGGTACCTTATGAGTTGACAATTAGAATTCACTGACCACTGAATTCCAGGTCAACAAGCTTGGTCTCGTAACCTAAAGGTCCGGGTTTCCAGCCCCGGTGGGGTTGTGTATGTGGGCTGTTGATGAGTCGCCATTTAAGATGAAACATCGATCCATGGATTTTAATAATCTCTCTAAATGATGTTGATTCCTCACGAAAATATAAAAATTAAAATAAGACTAGATCGACTCTATAGTAACAGCTATTATTCGAGAGCTTTTTAACACAAAGGTATTTACTCTTACTAACTTTTTTCTAAACTGGAGTTCTTAATCGGTTCCTTAAAGTAATAACTGTGTTAGACGCTAGGTTTTTGTCTTTTAGTTGAAATTATTTAACTAAACCTAAAATGAATAGAATGACGACTAATTTGCTCCTTTAGTGCCAATAATAAGAATATTAATACCAAATATTGTTTCATAAAGAGGTTGAAGTATCATATCTTGGTCTATTTAAAAAATTGTGTTGAGGTATTTTGAGTAGGTAACTTTTTCTGTCTGTCTGTCTGTTTCTGTCTATTGTATAACTTTGTAGTGAATTTGAAGAAAAAAACAACTGGTCCTTTCTTTACAATGTCTATCATTCTTATCCTCTCTTATTGTAATTAGAGATACAATGTTATGCATCACAGTGCACATATTATTTTCATTTCCAGACGACATGCTTTATTCTTTCGTCTGTAATTCTATAACAATACTATACTATTTAGTAGTTGCATAACTTTAGATATAAAGAGGAGTCAAACTGCGAGTATTCTCTTCCTTTTAGTGTAAATAGTTTCTATTACCACACAAGCTGAGAGTTAAAAGCAGTTAGGTTATCTTGACATCGATGATAAATGGTATACATGATTAATCAGTGATAGTTTAGCTGTCTGTAACTTTTTTTGAAACATTGGTTTGAAGTTCTGCGCGTTTTTTTGGAAATGATGGAGGGGATTGTTTTTAGCTTAGATGGATGATTTCAGTGTCGTTGTGTCTTCTAAGTTAAATTTTTTTAACTGAGAAGGATTTATTGTTCGTTATTTTGAAATTATCTGTGAAGATTTCTTTTCTGAAAGCTAATTAAAAATTCCGAATTAAACCGCTTAGCCCACACAACATAATAAAAACTAAAAAGTTACATGTTTAAATACTTTTAGTGTGTTTATTTCATGCTTATTATAGAAACACCTTACTGGTTTCTCTTCCATATATTTGTATTCTTAATGGAATACTTGACTTCAAGCTTACGCTAGCGGTGGCTTTATCTCTTTTAGGAGCACATTGGTCGGGAATCGAACCCAGGGTCAGTCGGGTGGTTAGTGCATAGTCCGCCAATAAACCACTGAAGCACCATTTTACTGGTAATTATGAACAAAATCCTAACCTGGTTAAGATAAAGCCTCTAATCTCTTAAAATTATTTGCTTGATTAAAAAACACAAGCTAACTGAAATACCTTGTTGGTTACCTTAGACAAATACTTATTTATCCGTGGAATTAGGTCATTAGATGTGGTGGCTACACACATTAATATTTAGTAGAGAGAGAGAGTTTGATTAGCTAATTTGGCCCGTGAGTTTAGTTCTAAATACTCATTAGAAAATGAAGGTCTCGGTTAGCACGGATAATATGATATGGCGGTACATGAATGTATACTCCCTCGTCCCACTCTTAATTATACTTGTTCGAAAAAGATCAGAGGACAGTTATTAGACTAAAACAGAGTCAAAATTAGATCGTCCAAAGTACTAAGTGTATTTCTCAGGATCGATACCTCTGGGCTGTGATACATGCCAAACTAACTAAGGATCACTTATGAATACCCAAATGACATGGGTCATTAACCTCCTGCTTTCAGCCTCACCAGCTTACTTAATCGGTGAAGGTCAGTACACACTGTTAAATGACAAAGAAAGCTGTAGGCTAAAAGCTTTAGCTAACTACTAACCACTATAACATCATCTATTAGTAGAAATTAATTGTATGCATTAGACAATAAAATGCATCGATGGTTCACTGATAGAATACGTGCCAACTATCCACGTGGTCTAGAGTTCGATTTCCGACCTCACTTATCCGATAATAAGTCTGGTAAAGACTGAGGGTTAAGCGTGAGC